GTGTATTTATGTGTATGTTATAGAAATATTTGATCTGTCTTTTATCTCCCTCATTCTCTTTCTCTCTATGCATATGCACGTCTATGTGAAGACATGTACCTGTCTCTTTCTCATGTATATATGGTCATGTCCCATGTCTCTTCTGGACCTCTGGCCCTTGGCATTCAGCTCTCTGCTCTCTCTACCCACTAGACTAGGAGCACCCAGGGCAAGGAGAGTTGGTCACCACTGTCTCTCCAGGACCCTTACAGGTGGGCATGGCATAGGCACATAACAATGACAGATGTGTGCCTCCTCACCAAAGGGCTAAGTCACATTCACTTTTTTAAAGTAAGTGAGTTTTTTGTTTTTTATCCATACAGAACTGGGGTACAGGACAGAGGCTCAGGATGGTGGAGGCTTCACCAGAGACAGAGTGGGGAGCAGAACAGGCAGACTATGGAGTACACTGCTGAGGGGAGCAGCGGGCGGGTCAGGAGAGGTCTGACGGGGATGACGGGGCTGACGGGGATCGAACTCATGCTGAAGTGGCTTCAGCCTCTCAGTGTGGTGCTTTAACCCACTGCACCACCAGGAAGGGTCAGTAAATGAGTTTTAAGTCATTTCATCTGTCAGATACATACCCCTGCTGGAGATGATGGAAAACATCCCAGAAATACAGGAGAACCAGGCCCAGCTCTACCACCTCCTCTGAAAACATGGGGACCCCAAAGTCCCCGGAGCTCTGTCAGAGGCTGCACTTTCTCTGCCCATGGCACCACTCGCAAGGAAGCAATGCACTCCCCACCAGTCTGTGCGGAGGACATACAAAGGCATGTGTAGATGCTGGCTCTGTGCCCATTATGGATCTTACAGAAATGATTCTAAGTCCTCTGGGTTTCCATGGAACCAGGAAACCATTTCCAGACCAGCGAGAGTGGGAAGAGAGAATATATATCATGTTTGTTTTTTTCTTGCCTATAACATCCCCACAATGCTCACTAGCTTAACAGGAGCTTTAAGCTTCTCCTACCTTCAGCGGATGCTTTCTAAAGCAGAGCTTCTCAAACTTTAATGTGCATATGCATCACTCTGGGGACGGGATAAAATAAACGGTTTGTTTCAGTACATCTGGGATGGGCTCCAAGATCTTGCATTTCTAACAAGCGTCCAGGTCACGCCAGTGCAGCTGGCCCTACACTAAGCTTTGAGAAGCAAAGTTCTAAAGAACACAGGATAGCTCTGCATTTACTCAGTGAACTAGTAATTAGCACCTCCACTAAGCAGTGTGCTAGCACTAAAGGAACAAAGAAATGGGGAGAAATAAAAGATGGCTATGACACAGTCCTTTGTTTCAAATTCAGATAGCTATGCTGAGTTACTGTGTCCAGCATTTTGCATAAGTCAGCTTCACTCTCCAACCTATAACCCATCAAGTGTACATTGTCTTTCTCATTTAACATGTGAGGAAACTGGAGCTCACACAGCCTCTCTGTCCAACTAATAAAGGAAAGCAAAGAGATTAGAACTGAGGTGTACCCCAATTCCAAGGCCTTCCCCCCCCCAGTGCCCTTCCCATCCCCAACCACCAAGTGTACACCCCTCCCACACTTGATCTGGATCTCTCTGCCAAGTTCCCAGCACCCATGGTCTTCAGACCCACAGGGAATGTGGGGTGGTAGCAGGCAAGAGGTGCTAAATAACCACCAGAAATGGACATCAGGACCTAGCCGCTGCTCAAGACGGCCTTCCCTGGGGCCTTCTGCCTGTTTCTAATATCGTGGTAGACTTAATGCTGCCCACACTAGCTAGCTTCAGCCGTGAATTACAACCCAAGTTTTGTCACCAATTGGCTGTGTGACTTCGGATAAATCTCACCTAGACTCAGAGTTGGGAGTTCATTAAGTCCTTGCCCGTCTTACTAAAGGTTTCTAAATTTTCTTCTAGTTTGCCCTTCATAACAGGGGGAAGGCCTCTATTATGTCCCCATCAGGGCCCTTCCTCCCAGCCCGTTTCTTAGCTCAGAAGCAGGAGGTCCACACTGTGGGCTGTCTCTTTTCCTCCCTAAAGTCACAAACAAGTTTTGAGTACATGCCTGGCCTGCTGTCCTGTGCTCATTCATTGCCTGAGAATGTGAAGGTAATGAGATGCATTCCTTCCTGAGGAAGGTAATTCAAGGAGAGCGACCCAGGCTCTGGGCCTCAGAAAAGGGCAACTAACTCAACACTCTGTATGGGGTAGATTCTAAATGGGCAACTTCCAGCATGCTGGGGTTTCCCTAGGATATTCCATTGCCCAGCACTCTATGAGGTGGGTGCTATTACTGTCCCCTGATTTAAAATGAGGAAAATAAGGCTTGCAGAGAGCAAGTGCTTGGCAAAGTCACAAAGTTAGTAAGGATACATGAGCTAATGCATGCCCAGAAAAATTCTTCATAGAGTGTAGGGCAGGTAGTAAATAATTGGTTATTGAAATGCCTCCTTTATATATATTTTTAGATTGATTTATTTATGCCTACAGAACTGGGGTACAGGCCAGAGGTGCAGAGGTGGTGAGAGGATTCATCAGAGACAGAGTGGGGAGCAGAACAGGCAGATCCACGAAGTACACTGCTGAGGGGAGCAGCGGGACAAACAGAAGAGGTCTGTGCGCCATGTGGGTCAGCTCCCTGGCTGAAGACAGACAGCCTCACAATGCTATGCTTCAGCGGCTTGTGCCCCCAGGGAGGGCCTAAAAGGCCTTCTTTAAATGGCAGAATGGGGAGTAGAACCATATCCTCACACTCAGACATAATGAACTGACAAATGGAAGAAGGGCCTCTTATCTCCCCTGAGGACAAAGACCAAGCTCTGGACTAATCATGCAAGGTGAGAAAACAGCTGATAAAGGAAGTAACAGAGAGTTGGAGAAAGGGCTTGTTGGACTCCAAAGCACCTGAGTGGCCACAGTGAGCTCTAACAGTGGGGGAGAAGCCTCAGAGAAGGCAGCCCCATGGCCCTTGTCCTTCCTAGAAGGCTGGTCCCCCAGGCTCAGCTGCTCAATGTTCTGCTATCATGCCCCTGATGTTGTCTTTTGAGTTCAGGGTTCTTGGGTTTACTCTGGGAAAGGTTACATCTGAGCTCCCCTTTCAGCGGCACATGGAGAGATTCTTCACGAGACAGAGACTCAGTTATATTTAAAGAGGAAGTTTATTAGAAAGAGACGGGAGAGGGGAAGACACTGGGTTAGGTGCAAGTGGGCAGGAAGAGCTGCCCCAAAGGGACAGGTTTGCAGGGAAAGAGGCCTGCATGGTTGCAGGCAGGCAGTCTTAGGAAGAGGCCTCCCCTGAGGGAGGTCAGTACGGAGAAGTAATGGCACGGTACAGGTCACCGGCAGGCAGGGGGCTGCTGCCTTGCAGAGGGAGAGAGAGGGTGGACAGAAGCACCTGCATAGGCACAGGTGGGCAGATGAGCAGCTGCTCCAGATATAGACAGCTTCTCTTAGGTTTGTTGACTTTGAATAGAGTCTGAGAGGACTGAGATTCCCTAGTGAGCTTCATCTCCATATCCATGTCCTTGTCTTCACCTGGGCACCAGGCATCCTGGATTTGGTGCCCTGATTTTATGGCCATGTCAACTGCTGCATTGGCCCCTTTTACCCATCCCTTTGTGTGACTCAGTCTTATGATGCCTCTCTTGCAGTCTTTCCTCCATCACCCCCATCTGGGTAAGGGACTATGATGGGCTCCGAAGCATGTTGGAGACCATCAATTAGTGCTGGACTCCGCATTCGTGGGTTGTATTTCCAAGGATGCTCCACTCAGATCCACAGTGGAGATAAATCTCACTTCTCATTCACTGGCTTGGAATTAAAATGCTGCCCAACATAGTCTCCCAAAGAAAGTGAGATTTATGGGTCACTGTCAATATCAACAAATGTTGGCTATTATTTGAAAGTCTCCTCGCTCATTGGGGCTGATTGCTGTTTACTTTGAAAGATGGATGTGGCTTTATAACCCATTCAGGGTGCTGGGAGGAATGGGCAATCAAGTAATTTGTTTCTTCCCTTGGAGACTTTTATTCCACTTCATTCTATGTGGTGGGGTGGTGTAAGTACACCTGCCTCCACCTCTGGCTATTCTGATGCAGCTGAGGGTCTGAACAGGGCAAGAGAAGCCAATCTGTGTCTTTAGTCCATGGGTCAGTGTGACTAGATGGAGTGGCCTTAGCCCCTTAACTATAAAACTGCCCTGCTTCTGAGTTGAAGTCACACAGATTGGTCTGTGACCAGAGTGAAGACCAGCAAGGAGCTTGCTTAGAGAGCAATAGGTGGGGCCTTCGTGGACACTTCCAGAAATGGAGGCAGGAATAGCGTCACTTAGGCCAGTGTTTATGACAATGGTTCTCAAACTTGAACCTGCATCAGAAGGCCCGTGAGAGTGTTAAAACTTAGATTTCTGAGCCCACACCTGACTTCCTGATTACATAGGTGAGGTTCAGCCCAGGAACATGCATTTCTAGTGAGGCCCCAAGTGATGTCAATTTTGAGGCTGGTCCTGAGTCCCGCATACAACACCAGCTTAGGTCAAGGGCAGGAAGGATGCAGCTGCTGGCAATGTTTGTCATTCTGGGCAAAGGATGGCACCCTAGAAAGGGGGATTTTTATGGTTTTGCTGAGCAATATATGATTAAAATCCTCTGTGAAATCTTCATCTAAGCTCAGGTGCCATTAATAACTCTATTTGACTCTACTTTGGAAATGCTCTGAAGTGCTAGTGGACGTGGGTCACCCAGGCTAGTGTCTGTGTGCTGTGCCTGGGTTACTAGGCATTCGTGGCCAGGCTTCTGGGTATTTGGTAACACCAATGAGCAAGAGCGGGAAGGAGACTGATGGCAATCTCCACATGCTGGCTCACACACGAGGGCCCCTGAGAGATTCTCCCGGTGTTAAGCAGGACTTGCAGGTAAAGCTGGGCCCAAGGCTACAGAGAGGAGAGTAATACCTGAACACCCGAAGATCACTGCAGGCGGAGGGTAGCTTTTCTTGCATGAGAGAGCTTACATTGGAGTCATAAGACTGCAACTGCCCTAGGAAGTATGCTCTGAAGTCACTGTGCTGAAGTCAGTCTGCCCAGACTCTTCCATCAAAGCCCTGGGGATGGAGCCGTCATCACTTGGGAGTCATTGCTCCTAGGGAGACATCCCCAGCACTGTCAGGGCTGGGGAGCTGTTACTGAAAGCCATGCTTGGAGTGGCAGGTAGTGCAGTGGGCCTGGAAGAAAGTCAACATCTTTGGAGATATGAAAAAGGTAGGTTAAAAATATTCAATGAGGGCCCTCCCTGGTGGCACAGCAGGTTAAAGCACTGCACTGAGAAGCAAAGCACTTCAGCCTGAGTTCGATCCCCGCCCCAGAGGTGACCCACTTGGCGCCGCAGACCTCTCCTGATCCGCCCGCTGCTCCCCTCAGCAGTATACTTCACCAGTCTGCCTGTTCTGCTCCCTACTCTGTCTCTGGTGAATCCTCTCACTGCCCCTGCACCTCTGGCTTGTACCCCAGTTCTGTATGCATAAATAAATAAATCTTTAAAAAAATGCAGTGATGGTATTAGTTGGAACTTTTACTCACAAGCACAAAAGTCCACCTCAGATTAATTTAAGCAAAAAGGGTTTAGGAACTCCTATAATAGGGATGTCCGAAATAGAGGCTTCAAATACAGCTAAATAAATGGCTCTAGTAAAGTCACCATGTTTCTCAATTCTTTCTCTTTCTCTTTTCTTCTCTCTCCCTCCCTCCACGATGGTGCTTGGGAGTCCCAAATTTCCTTGGTCCTTAGATCTTAAAATATAGAAGGATTAAAGCCTCTTATCATATACCTCTGCAAACATTCCAGAAAGGTGACAGGTGCTCACCTGTAAATAGATGACAGTAGGGTGTGGTCTGTGATTGGCCTTGTTTGGGAACCAGGCCCACCTTCTGTGTAGAATCAGCTCTACCCAAAGCAGACTAAGCCCACTCCCCATGCACGGAAGGGGTGGTTCCTCTGAGAGGGACTCAGCAGTCTGACTGCTGAAGACTGCCTGTGAGACATGAGAACGAAGGGAGGGCCAGTGATGTTCCCCACGGGTAAGCAGAATGAGTTTCTGTCCCTGCCTACACATCCTCATGGTGCATTTCAGACCCTGCTTGAAAGTGTGTGAAGTAGCTAATCTACTTGGGCAGAACTGGCCTCATGAGCATAGGGAGATCTGGATGACCTTATAGATTTAGTCATTTGGAGGGCCATGGATTTTCAATTAGTTCTTTAACACATAGGTGCACCCATGCAACTTTCAAATATTGTTCTTCCAGGGGAAGCAGATGAGTGAAATAAATGGAATCAGCATTTTTATTGTCTTCCTAGGAAGTTCAGAGGCCGCTTTTCAAAGCTGTGTTAAAGACATACTTGGTCATATTCTAATCGACACCACAGTGATTCACAAATTGTGATCTCAGGGTCAGCATCGTCAATATCACACAAGCCTTGCTAGAAATGCAAATTCTTGATCCCACCCCAGACTTACTGAATCAGAAACTGGTTGTTGGGTCAGCTGTGTTTTATCAAGCCCTCTGGGTAATTCAGATGCACGCTTCAGTTTCAGAGCCTCCACTCTATACATGTATTTGATTCACTTCACCAAGTTCAAAGCAATCCCTGCTATAAAAACTAAGACTGTGTCACAGGTTTATTGATCAGTCTGAATTTACTTGGGTATAAACATGAAGCTGTTTCCTATTTCTCCCATCCCTGTCTTCAGTCGTGGGCTAGCAAGTCATATTTTTCCATCCCTTCATAGCATCTGGGGCACATTTCTTAACTTTTGGACAGTTCTATTATTACGAGTCTTTTATATCTTATTTTAAAGCCTTGATCTTACATCTGATTTGACACTCTTTCTTTCTCCTCCTGAGCTCAGCTGGGCCACAGGTGGGATTTCAAGTGGTGAAGAGATGGTTCTCCTTCAGCTCTCTTCTCTATGGGGCACCATGAGGTAGGGTGGGAAAGCAGGTCTGATTCTGGGATTGCTCCCCTTCCTTTGTAGGGCCTACTTCTCTGGAGAAGCTATTAGTGGGGTACAGTTAGGGACACAGATATCCTAAGTCTTGGTTGGCTGTTGTCTCTCTCTGGTCCACTCTGGGCTGATCTGCTACTTGTGGCCTTGAGCACTGATGGCCCTGTGAGGACACGTGGATGATTTTCTGAGGCCCTGTGTCATTGAGAAAGACAGCTGTGGCTCCTTTTGTATCCTCTATAGCACTCCCACTCTGTCCTCCTTTACGGAGCCTCAGAAATGGCTGCAGTCCTCTTCCTCACCCTCTGAGCATAAAGGTGAACTGAAGTGAGGAAGAAGCCTGCCCCTTTCTTCAAGTTTAACTTCTTCCCCTTGTCTCAGATTACCATAAGCAAAAAGGGCCCTGTCTGGACCTCCAGGCTCCAGGTGACTAAAGCAGACACAACCTCCACATTCACACAGCGCCTCACAAACACCTATGGATACAGGGCAAATGCTTCACTGAACTGCATCTCCATACCCCCACCACCAGAGGGGGCCATGCGTCCCAATAGCTCAGCAACCATCCAGCTTGAGGATTAACCAGTTGTGCGTCCTGCAGACACCCTCCCCTGGCAGTCTCCACAAAGGAGTGTGAGAGAGCCCCCAACAATGGGAGGGACAAACCAAATTACCTTTGCATTTACTCCTACCCCCTTTTCCCACAGTCTCCCTACATGGTGCTGGAGAAAGATGGTGATGGTAATTGAGCCTTCTTTGGAAGCCCCGAAGGAAGGGAATCTGGCCCCAACTGCTGGCAACTCTCTTTGGAGCACATGGGTTACTCAGCACCCAGTGTCTCCAGAGAGGCTGTGGAGCCAGCCATGTACGCTGTCCTCTTACATTTGCTCTTTCAACGTGTTTTCACATATATTAGCCCCGTTGACCTCAAGTAACCCTATGGGGTATTCGACCTACCAGGAAACAGACTCAGAGAGTTTAAGTGAGGAACCCAGGGTCACACAGCCTTGTGGTGAGGGTGGGGTGGGGATCCGGCCCTGCAGCTCCTACAATCCTGTCCTCTTCCTGCTATTTCATGTACATGCAGGCCACATTTGCCTTGCAGCTCCAGGGAAACTTGAAGCAACTAGCCAAGAAACTTGCTTGTTTCCAAGGCCACCCTCTCACCACAAGTCTGACAATGGAGAGTTTGAGGTATAGAATTTCCTTAGAGAAAACACCAATTGGTTCAGGTCATGGATACTGACCATTGTCTTCGCAGGTCATGGCCACAGGACTCTAGGGAACCGGAACTGGCTTCAGTGAGCCAGCCCCTCCTGCCTTTCTAGGGTAGAGAAGGGGGCAGGGATATAAGTTGTACTTCCAAAGCAAAAAGTGGATGTGATCGGAGTTAACTGGCCAGACCCCATGGTCTAGCCCCATGAAATACCCAACTCAGGTCATTCAGGGTCAGGGCGCCATCTGTGCCTTCTGGATGGCTCTATCTAGAATGACTCATTTTGTATGTAGTGGGCAGAGGCGTGTGGCTATACTCCCCTATAGTGGTCAGAGAGCATGACAATTTCTAGTCAACAGTTGGGGTTAGAGACCTTGCTATACACAAGAGACTTCTTTCTTCAAGTTTCATAGATGACTTATGATGAACATGAGATCCTCACATGCCCTTATTCTGAGCAGAACATCCCCCTAGGGCTGTGGTTCAAGGAGGTGCCACCCAGATGAACTGGGATCATATTTCACCCACTAAAGATCAAAGCCCTCGTTCTTAACAGAGCCAATTATGAAGTTTTCAAGATTTTTGTGAGCTAATTGTTAAGCACAGCCATTATTTTAACATTCAATGACAAAGATTTGCAATTAAATTATTTTCAAAACAACTGTAGTAGATCTTCAAAACTCTTCTATTTCTAATTACTTTACTACACTTTACTCTGATCTCTATTAAGGTTTTCGGTTTTCTATTGTAGGGCATGGTGGAAATGCTGTCATGCTCCGGAGTTTCTCTGCCTACCTCCCCAGGCAGGAACATCACACTGGCAGTTAGACAGCAGCCATGACAATTGCAATTGCATGTGGAAATTGGTGAACACACCAATGTACTTTACATAAAGTCATAAGTACGTACAGTTTAGCAATTAATCAAGATCTGATTTATTGTTTTGTTGATTGTGTAGTGCAAGGATCAACAAACCTTTTCTGTAAGGACCAGGTAGTAAATCTTTTTCTCTTTGTAGGTTCTATGGTATCTATTGCCACTAGCGTGGTAACACAAAACAATTACAGACAATAGATAAACAAACCTTCTTGACCCTGTTCAAATAAAACTTCATTTGGAAAAACAGATGTTGGGCCAGATTGGCAGGTTTCAAATTACCAACCCCTGGTTTAGACTTCGGAGAGATATGGAGAAAATGTTAATGAGGAAGATTGAAATTAAGAGTGTCATGTGACAGTTCCTGTTATAAATTGGGACCAAAAATTTGAGGGATGATCCTTCCATATGCAAAAACAACAATCTGGTACAGCAAAGAAATAAGCTCATGGCACTGATGAATAATTCGAGTTCCCACATAAATCGTCATTGTTTGAGTTTTGACTTGCTTGTTAACATACATGAAATAGCAACTGACATTCATATCAGAACCATACAGCAAAGATGAACATGAGTGTTCTGTATCAGTTGGGTATATGAAGTTTATAATATAACATTAGATTTTTTTAAAATTTTTTTTAAATTTTTTTTTTTAAGATTTATTTATTTGTGCATACAGAACTGGGGTACAGGCCAGAGGCTCAGGGGCAGCGAGAGGCTTCACCAGAGACAGAGTGGGGAGCAGAACAGGCAGATCGACGAAGTACACTGCTGAGGGGAGCAGCGGGCGGGTCAGGAGAGGTCTGCCGCGCCATGTGGTCACCTCCGGGGCAGGCGGGAATCGAACTCATGCGGAAGCGGCTTTAGATTCTCAGTGCTGGGCTTTACCCCGCTGTGCCACCAGGGAGGGCCTAACATTAGATTTTTTTAATTGTTAATTGTGTCACAGGCATCCTCACTACCAATAAATAAACACATATACACATTCTGTTTTCCAGGGAGCCAGTTTTTAAATACATCCCATCATACCACTACCTGAGAGGCAGCTACTTGAAGAGAAATCTGACAGTCCAGAGCAGCACACGTTAAGGACCAAAGCCTGGAGGTTGTGGGTGGGAGGAGCAAGGGTAGAATAATCAGGAGAGCC